AATATGCAGTTGTGCATGGATAATGCCACTACTGTGTCATTGACTAGGAAGTATTCGCTGGCTACCCGTAATTGGAACACATTGGTTAACTGATAGTCTCGAATGGGAATGGTAAAAATCAAATTTTGTGGTTCTCCCAACCGCACCTGAACAGAACTCAAATGCTCTCAAAAAGAATTTAACGATAGACAATTATGAAACACACTGTGTAATTTAACGATAGACAATTATAAAACACAGTGTGTAGCTAAAACTCACTTTCTTTTTATTTATAGCAATTCTTTCCTGATGGACTATAAGATTTTCGTCGATATTTTCCAAAGTCAGCCAAAACGACTGCGCACCATTCTTTCCAAGAAGGCGATCATTCCATATAAATGCAGGTGTCAAGATTGCTGATACTTGCATAATAGTACTGAAGCCAATTTTTATACATATTTTGAATAAGAATAGTTAAGAATAGCGCTGACTTACTAAGTTATGGGTTTCAGCGTAGCATCTACTTCTACTCGAGGCAGCATGCGCATCGTCTGGTAAAGTTTTTCCCCATCACAGCTGAACATATAACCTAAAAACGAGATATTTGTTTTCCATTTGCATTTCAATGAAAGTAGCAAATTACTCTATTCCTAAGAAACGGTGATAACTCTAAAATCGTATTTGATATTTACCCAGTTCCTTTGCAGAAAGATCCAACAGCTGAGATTCCGTCAGTTTTCTTCTCTCCACCTTTTCAATTAGATCTATACGAAGAAACTCGTCCAGCTGCCTGAATAATGAGGTAACTTCAACTAAACTGTTGCATTATTGTCGCAAGTCTATTAAGGAAAATTACCTCAAACTGCTCTGAGTTGGCCAAACCCTTTTCTCAATAGATTTAGACATTGTGAGAAATGCATTAGCAGCTTGTGCCCAGCCCTTTCGCAATGCGATCTCAAAGATCCCTCGACAGAGGCGACTAGCATTTTGCTGCACATAGAGTGATTCTGAGGATAATGAGAAGCTACGGACGAATGTTCGAGAAATATGACTCTGAAATACACATTTCTTATTAAAACGCTAATAACTAGTAAAGTTTGAAAACCATCAAATCACCTGCAGCAGTACATTGACCTTCCCCGCAATACTAGCCAATCCTCCACCTCGTAACGGTAAAACACAACCACAGCTTATCAGTTCTTCAAGGTCTAGACACTCTTCTTCACGAATCTGTAAAATAACT